TCATATCATTTATACCTCAGAGAGCAAACTCTGTTGTTTTTCATCTATTCAAATTCCTTCTCTGCTGTGCTGTAATTGATGTGCGAGAACACAGAGAGCAACAGACTCTTCTCCTGTTTCTCATCACCGCAAGGCACGGGAGAAACATTATAATATTCAAACTGCATGGTTTTTATCTCCTGCATTGTTGAGGCAATTTACTCAAATGGTTATCTAACCCAGAATGAGGATGTGGGACAGACAAATCTCTAGCCCCACCTTTCTTTCTGGAAAGCTTCACAGCAGAGCATAAATGTGTGAGTGAGACAAGACTGATGAGCGCAGTCGGCAAATCAAATACAGAGAGAGAGAGATATGAGTCATGAGAGAAATCAGTGAAATAAAAACTAAGTGCATCTACTCTTTTAAAACAAGATCACAAAGACACATACTTTATGTGTGCCAAATACTGCAGTTCCCCTAACGACCACTTAAGCCTCTGTGGCTCCAAACCTCATAGATGTTAAAAAGAATTTCCAACTTAACAGTATTAAAATCTGTGTTTACAACTTGACAAAGAACAAAACGAAAACACAAAAACAAACTTGTTTCTATGCTTTACTCCTTTATATGTATGTTATATGTATGTTGGGTGTTTTGGGGTGTTTGGTCCATTTAATAGACAATAGCATTTAGCAGGTCAGCAAGTATCAGTGTCTGTGTAATGACACTGATACTTTTTTTGTTGCAATGCAACAATTTTTTGTTGCATTTAGTAACTAAGGCAAAAAACAAACAAACTTGGGGTTACACATTCATCTAAATGCAGCCACTTTTGTCATGGCGACTATGTCCATCTTTTATCTACAGTCTGTTGTTTATTTCCCCTTTGTCATCTCTTACCTTACCCCCAGTTATGATGTCCTTTTTAAATAATAATAGTAATAAAAAACGTATTTTACTTGTCTCTTAGTATTGTTTATCGGATATCTCTGCCTATAAATTTGACCCATAGAGTTTATGAATGCACCTTTATAAAAAAGCTTGCTAGCGTTAGCTTATAACTTAGTTCTACACCCTTTGATCAGATATGGTCACGCTAAAAACTCCAAAAAGCAGAAAAAATACTCAAAATCCTAACACTGAGACTTCAAAAAGCAGAGTCCATAAGTCAATGGGTGATTTCACTGTGGTTATATCCATCTTTTATATACAGTCTATGGCAATAATAAGATAGATAGAGAGATAATAGGGCTGGGCGATACGACCCAAAATTCATATCTCGATATTTTTTAG